TAACTTTTTAACCCCTGGACGGATTCATGTGATTTTTACATATGTTGCTCCCCAAGTTATGCTGATCACAGAAATATTCGTATGTGATGTAAAATCAGGGAGTTATAAAAATGTATAAAAAAGTATGATTTTTCAGCTTGGAGATACTTGAGTAGATACAGTAAGAAACTCAATTATCTCCCAAGCAGAGGGGAGGAGATGCATGGGAGTGCTTGTACTGTATACTACGTGTTTATTGGTTGTTCTGTAAACCCCTGTGGGCGGTCCTGTATGTGTTAAACCTGCATAAAAGAAGGCCCTTTGGTGCCAAGTAAACAGATCTTCTTGACCCTCAATACGTAGCCTTGTCTTGTTATTGGAGGGAACTGCTATATCATACAGGGTGGAAGGAAGACGGCGAGACTCCAGTCAAGCTACGGCGGTTGCGGAGTCTGCGGTGGTTGTGCAGTGCTTGGAGTCCTCAGGAAGCGCTAGGAGCATCCTTCAACTGAGGTACCCGGTCGGGGTGCCAGGTGATCCGTTACAACTGCATTTTCTCTGAAAAGACCGGGCTTACAGCAAAAAGGTAATGATTCTACTCACCAGAACAAATTCAATAAGCTGTAGTTGCTCTGGTGACTATAGTGTCCCTTTAATGGCTATTCACTGGCTACTTTCTTAGTTACTATTTTATTTTATTTTTTTACATTCTTTATTTTGGTGGTGCGTTGATCATATTACAAACATAGGGTAACATTATAACGGTCATAGTAAAAGAATGAGGTAATATTAAGGAATTGGCACCATTTTATTTTTTTTTTGTTAAAAAAATATAGTAACATGCTGGAAATTGGCAACTGAACATAAAAGTATAAAACAGTAGGTACCATCTTCGAGTATGACAGGTCATGTAGGCCGTCTGCGGGTAAATAGTTTGCCCTTTTGTGGGGGGAGTATGATGGATGCAACAGACTTAGCGTCATCTTACAGAGCCAGAATAAGAAACAAAAGACAAAACGAGAGAACCCACCAGACGCCATCCCCACTAGGGGCCCAGACTCTTGGCGGCCAAACACCACAGAGACCTTCCAGGCAGATCCCCACTCACCTGATGACTCCGATCCGACCACCAAGCATGATCTAAAGATCCTTCTTGCAGATATACACAAACTGCTTGCAGTGGATGTAACTAAGATTAAAGGGGACATACAACATGTGACAGACCAAGTCAAACATGCAAAAGAACAGGATTCAGTGATGCACCTCCAAACTGAACAACATGTGTTGCCCAAATAATGTCCCTACATGACCGACAGCTCAGAACACACATTAAAATACGGAGAATACCCGCCACAGTCTCCCCCGAAGAGTTGCCGCACTATACCAGGCGCTTGCTATCTATAATCTTGCCACACGCAATAGCCAAGAAAATTGTCCTGGATGGGATCTATCGTGCACCTATCACAGCACACACTCAAAGTAGCGAGAAATGTCATACTGCGCTGTGTAACCGTGCACAACAAGATACAAATCATGATGGCCCTGAAGGGCAAATCACGTCTGGCTTTTGAAAATTTCCAGCTATCGTTCTTTCAGGACCTTACCAGAGCCACCTTAATCCAAAGCAAGGCGACAACCTCCCTGAGACAAGCAGGAATACCCTACAGATGGGGGGCACACTGGATTTCTCTTGGTCCACCATGAGGGGACTGCCCTCTCACTGCCATGTCTGGGGCAACAGCCTTTCTTGAGGCACTAGGACTGCCTACACCACAACCACTACCTGCTGCGGGTACCATTGAAGAGTCCTGGAATCGAGACAACACCAACCCTGCGGCCCAGAGGAGACGCCGCTCAGAAGAACCAGTGACCTGAACCAGTTTGGGGATTATTCGGCCAACACATGGCCACTAACAAAAGCCTAGAAGCACAAATGTTTTAATCTCTTTTATGTTTTCTCGTTTTCTTTCCCTTCTGTTGATAAGTAATCACAATTGTACTCTATACAACTGAAATGTGCTTTAACTTTTACTTATCTTGAATTTACCATACGGTTGTTTCCCATGCATGAACATGAAAAATAAAGAAATTAAAAAAAACAAAAAAGAAACATAGTCAGTAAGATACAACTAATCATAATATAGCTTGGTGCTACTTCTAAGTGCTGTTTCTAAGTGTGTAGTTGGAGATATTCTGGAGAGTTTTACAGAAGCTTCAACTGTCTAAGAGTTGTGCTAAGAGCTTTCTTTTCTACTGTTACAGGTAAGATTCATCTGTAGGAAAAGGTTACTGATTGCCCAAGGTTTGAATTCCTGTTGGTAATTATAAGGCATTTGATTTGATTAAGCTAGTTACTTGCTGTTGATGGCTGGTTAATTAGCTATTGTTTGCAAATAAGCAGAGGCCTACCCAGGTGTTAAACATTCCTAGTGGGCGGTGATTTTAGGAGTTATATAAGGCCTGGTTCCATTAGCTTGTCTAATATAGCTTGGTGCTACTTCTAAGTGCTGTTTCTAAGTGTGTAGTTGGAGATATTCTGGAGAGTGCTGTTTCTAAGTGTGTAGTTGGAGATATTCTGGAGAGTGCTGTTTCTAAGTGTGTAGTTGGAGATATTCTGGAGAGTGCTGTTTCTAAGTGTGTAGTTGGAGATATTCTGGAGAGTGCTGTTTCTAAGTGTGTAGTTGGAAATATTCTGGAGAGTGCTGTTTCTAAGTGTGTAGTTGGAGATATTCTGGAGATAACCTGGAGGTAATCTGAGGTATTCAGGAGGATAAAGAAAAAAGTTAAGATTTGTTAGATTTAAATTATTCTTATAATTGGAATGGCAGGCTTAGTTCAGTGTAACAATTGCTATGCATTTGTTTCACGTTCCACTTTTTGGAGGTTTGGTTGTTGTCTAATCTGTACACAGTTCTCTATCTTGTGGCAGGAGATTGTATTTTTGAAGTCTGAGATTTGTAAATTATCTGGTGTAGAAACTCAGACTGGAACTGCTGCAAAGCCGCTGCCGCAGAGACATGCTAGGAAAGGCAGATGGATTACTGTAGGATCTGGTAGACTTAGAGTTGTGGATAAAAGGCATTTTGCACAGTCTGTTGCTCTACATAATTCATTTCTGCACTTTCAGAGTGTAATGGTGTTGTGGAGAGAGGCACTGAGGCTAGTGGTGTTGTGGAGAGAGGCACTGAGGCTAGTGGTGTTGTGGAGAGAGGCACTGAGGCTAGTGGTGTTGTGGAGAGAGGCACTGAGACTAGTGGTGTTGTGGAGACCGGCTTGGAGAGTATGGTGAAGCCGAATAGAAAGCAGTTGTTGTTGGGTGATTCCATTATAAGAGGTGTGGAGATGGACAATGGTGGTCTTGTGAGGTGTCTTCCCGGAGCTACTGCTCACAGAGACAGGAGGCGTATCTGTAATATTGTTAAGCAAGCAAAGCAGGAAGGGGAATTGGATGTACTTGTCCATCTAGGGACAAATGACTTGGCTTGCAATGAGGTTTCAGAGGTTAAGGAAATTTTTAGTGTTTTTGCCAATGATATACGGCAGGTTGCTTCCACACTGTCATTCTCTGAAGTTCTGCCTGTGCATAACACTCAGAACGACAGGCGGATGCGGATTAGGGACTTTAATTTGTGGCTTGGTGAATGGTGTCGGGAGCAAGGATTTGGCTTTATTTCTCATGGTAGCTCTGTTTGGAATGGAGATAAGCTGTACAAAAAAGATGGTTTGCATCCAGGGCCGGACTGGGAAAAAAATTCAGCCCGGGCATTTTTTTATCACAGCGGCCCACTAAGAAGGGGGCGGTGCATTGAGGGTGTGTTTTGTCATCACAAACATGACAAACACGCCCCCTCTCAAAGTGAGCATGTTGGTTCAATGCTCTTCCAGGGCAGACCATGGGCAGAGCTCTGCTGAAGAGCTCTAGCATGAGAAAAAAGCCCTGTATTTGTTCTGCACAGTGCAAGCAAATTTAATAACATGCTTGCACTGTTTCCTTGCAACTTGCCTCTGGTGTCTCTATAAATGGATACCAGGAGACAAAAGGGCCAGGAAAGAGTATTGTGCATGTGTTTGGAGCCTGTTTGTGGTATTACGTTTGTGCAGAGTGAGCTGGTCATGGTGTGGTATTGTGTAATAAGGTCTGTTTTAGTCGTGTTGTGTTTGTGGTGTAATGTAATGCATATGTGGCTAGGGGCTGTAGAGAATGTGTGTATAGGGGATGTAGCAAGTGTGTGCATACAGGCTATAGTGTGTGTGTGTATAGGTGATTTAGTGTTTGTAGAGAGTGTGTGTTCAGGGAATGTGGTATGTGTTTGCTTACAAGGAATCTAGTGTGCATATAGGGGATCCAGAGTGTGTGTGTGTATATGATCCAGAGTTGGCTAAAGGATCTAGTGTGTGTCTGGAATGTAATGTGTTTAGGGGTGCAGTGTGTGTGTGAGGGGTGTTGTGTGTATGTGTATATATATATATATATATATATATAGTTTATATAAATATGTTTGGAAGTATTGTGTATGTGTGTGATGCAGTGTATTGGGGGTTGTGTGTGTATGTGAGGGGTGCAGTATGTGTGTGTGAGGTGTGATGTGTGTGAGGGTGCTGTGTGTGTGAGGGTGCTGTGTATGATGTGTGTGAGAGTGTTGTGTGTGTGATGTGTGTGAGTGCTGAGTGTGATAGTGCTGTGTATGATGTGTGATGTGTGTGAGAGTGATGTGTGAGAGTGCTGTGTGTGAGTGTTGTGTGTTATGTGTGTGAGTGCTGAGTGTGATAGTGCTGTGTATGAGTGTTGAGTGTGATAGTGCTGTGTATGATGTGTGTGAGTGCTGAGTGTGATGTGTGTGAGAGTGATGTGCCTGAGTGCTGAGTGCTGAGTGCTGAGTGCTGTGTGTGAGAGATGTGTGTGAGAGTGCTGTGTGATGTGTGTGAGAGTGCTGAGTGTGAAAGTGCTGTGTGTGAAAGTGCTATGATGTGTGTGAGAGTGCTGCGATGTGTGAGATTGCTGTGTATGATGTGTGTGACAGTGCTGTGTGTGAGAGTGCTATGATGTGTGTGAGAGTGCTATGATGTGTGTGAGAGTGCTGCGATGTGTGAGATTGCTGTGTATGATGTGTGTGAGAGTGCTGTGTGTGAGAGTGCTATGATGTGTGTGAGAGTGCTGCGTGTGATGTGTGAGAGTGCTATGATGTGTGAGAGTGCTGCGCTGTGTGTGAGAGTGCTGTGTGTGAGAGTGTTGTGTGTTGTGAGTGCTGGGTGTGATAGTGCTGTGTGTGATGTGTGTGAGAGTGCTGCATGTGATGTGTGTGAGAGTGCTGAGTGTGATGTGTGTGAGAGTGCTGAGTGTGAAACTGCTGTGTGTGAGAGTGCTATGATGTGTGTGAAAGTGCTATGATGTGTGTGAGAGTGCTATGATGTGTGTGAGAGTGCTGCGTGTGATGTGTGTGAGAGTGCTGAGTGTGAGAGTGCTATGATGTGTGTGAGAGTGCTGAGTGTGAGAGTGCTGGGTGTGAGAGTGCTGGGTGTGATGTGTGTGAGAGTGTTGTGTGAGTGCTGAGAATGCTGAGTGTGATAGTGCTGTGTATAAATGTTGTGTGTTGGGGGGTAAATAAACAAATAAAAAATTAAGTGGGGGTAAATATATAAAAAAAATAAATAAAAACTAAGCAAAAAAAAAAACTAAACCCCCCCCCTCCCTTCTTACCTTTAGCCTGGGAGGGGGGGACAGGCACGTGGTAGCTGGGAGGGGGGGCACCGGCACTCACACACCATCCCTGGTGGTCCAGTGGTGAGTGAACTGTCTCGCGAGATCGGGGCGTTGCCATGGCAACGCTCCGGATCTCGCGAGAGAAACCCGGCGGAGCTGCAAGACAGAGCTCCGCCGGGTCCTCTCCCTCCCTCCCCAGCCGCAGGTCTGTTTAAATGGGCCGGTGAGGGAGCTCTTTGATCTCCCCACCGGCCCTCCATGGAAGACAGCGGGGCCGGCGCTCGGATAGTGCCGGCCCTGCATAGACCGGCAGGGGAGATCCTGGGACCTCCCCTGCCGGCCTCGGCCCCACGGCCACCGCGGCCCACCGGGCATTTGCCCGGTGTGCCCGATGGCCAGTCCGGGCCTGTTTGCATCTTTCTCAAAAGGGAACAAATGTTCTCGGTGAGCAGTTCAGAGGTTTTGCTAGGATGTATTTAAACTAGGAGGGGGGGGCAAAAGGGTGATAAAACATCAATCCAATTGTCCCCCAAAACAAGGACAGAGGGTGCCTGTAGCAAGTGTGTTAAAAAATGATAAGCTTAGAGTCATGTCTACAAATGCTCGCAGTTTAGGGAATAAGATCCATGAACTTGTGGCAATAATGGCAACTGATAGTGTAGATTTAGTCGCTGTTACTGAGACATGGTATAATGAGAAAAATGACTGGGACATAGCAATACCAGGGTACTCTTTATATAGAAAAGATAGGGAAGGCAAGAAAGGGGGAGGGGTGGCCCTGTATGTGAAGGATAGCATAAAATCTAGCCTAATAAAAGTTAGTGAGGCAAACATAGAGTCCGTTTGGGTTACGTTAAATTTGGTAATCACACAGTAACTCGTGTAGGTGTGATTTATAGGCCCCCTGGACAAATTGAAGAGTTAGATAATCTACTAGTTGAGGAAATAGCTAAAATGACAATGAAGGGGGAAGTTATCATCATGGGTGACTTTAATCTTCCTGATGTAAATTGGAAAACAAAATTAGCTACTTGTGCCAGGAGCACACATATTCTAAACTCCCTACTGGGATTGTCTCTAAAACAAGTTGTTGAGGAGCCAACTCGTAAAGAGGCCATACTAGATTTAGTGTTAACAAATGGAGATTTTGTATCAGATGTTACTGTAGGTGAAAGTTTAGGATCCAGTGATCATCAGTCAGTGTGGTTTAATATAAGAACAGTGACTGAGTCACACCACACAAAAACAAAAGTTTTAGACTTTAGAAAAACAGACTTTTCTAAAATTAGAATATGGGTAGAGGAGTCATTATCAGACTGGAGCAATTTAAATGGAGTCCAAGAAAAATGGGATTATTTAAAAGTTGCACTATTGAAGGCAACAGAAAATTGCATTAGGCTTGTCAGTAAAAGCAAAAAATTCAAGAAACCACTGTGGTACTCCGCAGATGTGGCCAAAATAGTTAAAAACAAAAAGTTAGCATTTAGGAATTATAAAAAAACCCAGAGTGAGGGAGACAAAATGATCTATAAGATTAGGCAGAAAGAGGCTAAGCAAGTTATAAGAGCTTCCAAATCACACACAGAAGAGAAAATAGCACAGTCAGTAAAAAAGGGGGATAAAACATTTTTTAGATACATAAATGAGAAAAGAAAAGTAAAACAAGGATTAGTTAGATTAAAAACAAAAGAAGGAAGGTATGTAGAAGAGGATAAAGGTCTAGCTGACTGCCTCAATGAATATTTTTGTTCTGTATTTACAGATGAAAATGAAGGAAAGGGACCTCAGTTGAGAAAAAGGATAAATGAGTCATTTATTACACGTGAGTTTACAGAGGAAGAGGTTCTATTTCAACTGTCAAAAGTAAAGACAAATAAGTCAATGGGACCTGATGGAATACACCCAAAGCTATTAAAAGAGCTTAGTGGTGTACTAGCAAAACCATTAACAGATTTATTTAACCAATCATTGTTAACAGGAGTAGTCCCAGAAGATTGGAAGTTAGCGAATGTTGTGCCCATTTACAAGAAAGGTAATAGGGAGGAGTCGGGCAACTATAGGCCAGTAAGCCTTACTTCAGTAGTGGGGAAAGTGATGGAAACCATGTTAAAGGATAGGATTGATGAACATCTAAAAACACATGGATTTCAAGATCAGAGACAACATGGGTTTACTTCAGGGAGATCATGCCAAACTAATCTTATTGATTTTTTTGATTGGGTAACTAAAATTATAGATCAGGGTGGTGCAGTAGACATTGCTTACCTAGATTTCAGTAAGGCTTTTGACACTGTTGCACATAGAAGGCTTATCAATAAACTGCAATCTTTAAGTTTGGATTCAAATATTGTTGAATGGGTAAGGCAGTGGCTGAGTAACAGGCAACAGAGGGTTGTAGTTAATGGAATATATTCGAAGCTTGGACTTGTCACCAGTGGGGTACCTCAGGGATCTGTACTTGGACCCATTCTCTTTAATATTTTTATTAGTGATATTGCAGAAGGTCTTGATGGTAAGGTATGTCTTTTTGCTAATGATACTAAGATATGTAACAGGGTTGATGTTCCAGGAGGGATAAGCCAAATGACAAATGATTTAGGTAAACTAGAAAAATGGTCAGAATTGTGGCAACTGACATTTAATGTGGATAAGTGCAAGATAATGCATCTTGGACGTAAAAACCCAAGGGCAGAGTACAGAATATTTGATAGAGTTCTAACCTCAACAAATGAGGAAAGGGATTTAGGGTGATTATTTCTGATGACTTAAAGGTAGGCAGACAATGTAATAGAGCAGCAGGAAATGCTAGCAGAATGCTTGGTTGTATAGGGAGAGGTATTAGCAGTAGAAAGAGGGAAGTGCTCATGCCATTGTACAGAACACTGGTGAGACCTCACTTGGAGTATTGTACACAGTACTGGAGACCGTATCTTCAGAAGGATATTGATACCTTAGAGAGGGTTCAGAGAAGGGCTACTAAACTGGTTCATGGATTGCGGGATAAAACTTACCAGGAAAGGTTAAAGGATCTTAACATGTATAGCTTGGAGGAAAGACGAGACAGGGGGGATATGATAGAAACATTTAAATATATAAAGGGAATCAACACAGTAAAGGAGGAGACTATATTTAAAAGAAGAAAAACTACCACAACAAGAGGACATAGTCTTAAATTAGAGGGACAAAGGTTTAAAAATAATATCAGGAAGTATTACTTTACTGAGAGGGTAGTGGATGCATGGAATAGCCTTCCAGCTGAAGTGGTAGAGGTTAACACAGTAAAGGAGTTTAAGCATGCGTGGGATAGGCATAAGGCTATCCTAACTATAAGATAAGGCTAGGGACTAATGAAAGTATTTAGAAAATTGGGCAGACTAGATGGGCCGAATGGTTCTTATCTGCCGTCACATTCTATGTTTCTATGTTTAATGAGGTCGGACAAATATAACCCTAAACTAGACCCTTCTACTTCCTCATCTTTGCTGCTGCCTCCAGGTGAGCAACCTCCATTACAGAGATTCATCTGAATGTGCTTTCTGTTCTTTATTGTTTGATATTTGTATTTGTATTTGATTTTTGTTCAGTTCATGTGCTTTTTTTATGTGTATGCCTAACTATATGGTCCTTTTTATATTTTGCTCTTTTTTGCTAGTTTTTGATTTAGTTTTTCCCCGCAGCCCCTTTCCCTCTGGGTTTCTTAGTTCCACAATAATGGGTGGCTAGTTTCTTATGGCCCCTTGATCCCAATGCTCCCAACGCCCATCCCCATGTTTGGTTTCTCTTTGGTGTCCGGCTCCCCCATCTGATTCTTTTTCCCTTAAGTATCAACAGATGCGCATGGATGGCAGCCTATTGCCATGATGGATATTTTGAATCGTAGAAGCTATCCCAGAAGGAGGCCCCTGCAATCTGCTTCAGGCAGTTCCATCCGCTCTTTTAGTGCGGGTACCTCCAACAAGACTCCCATCAAAAGACAAAAGTTGCCCATAAATCCTTGGTGCACCACAATGAAAAAAAGGACCTGCCTTTGATGTGATGAACGAGTATTATGCTGGCAGTTCGGGGGCAGAATCCCCAGGGTTGAGCACTTCTGGCTGCTTGGCTTCTAGTAATGTCCAGGAGACTATGGTGGAGGACCATCGCACTGCTCACATGGCCACTTTGTTCTGACCGACTGATGATCCGGTGGAAATTCTGGATTCGGCAAGATGCCTGCTATTTGACTCTCTTCTGAGTGAACCCTTCCCTCTCCTATTGCAGAGTTCCTGCAATACTGACTTCGGAGCCTCTTGGATAAGAATGTTAAAAATAAACTTCAGGCAAAATGCCCAAGACCGACGCTGAAGGACGAAGTGTCCGTCACCCTGGATTTCAACCCAGTCTTCTCACGTTTATGATGAAGTCTGGCAAAGACGCTGTAAGGGTTTGGAATAAGGTCTTCGCTCTGTGCAGGAGAAGCTACTGGATGTCAGTGGTCTATTGACACAGGTCTTTCTGATAACAGATGTAGCCCTGACCAATGGTATGCCTGTGGATATTTCTCCGTACTGGGACCATTGGCAAGACTCCAGCAGTTGGAAACTTTATCTAAAGA